AGCCCATTTACTACACTTCTCCGATTACCAATGGTCATCAGTCACTCTTATGGTTAGCATTGGCATGTTTTCATTCTTCTGTTTTCTCGGTATTTTAAAGCTGATTTATTCTACATTCTTTGCTACGGTCTTTTTTATGTTTGCCTTTTGAATAACCGTCTAGTAAGTCTCAGAATGTAGCTGATATTTCTCTCCTGGCTCCTGAGTTTTAGAATGGTGGAAACATGCGACGTGGTTGTTCTTGGCGCCGGAATATCCGGTCTCGCGGCTGCCAAAGTTCTTACCAAAGAGGGACTCCGCGTGATTGTGCTTGAAGCCCGTGATCGTCATGGTGGTCGCATTCATACTATCTTTCCTCAACTTGGCGACAACCGACCTTCCTTCCCTATTGATCTGGGTGCTAGCTACCTACATGGCTGTTGTAGCGATCAGGAGGTTCAGCCGCTCTTCGCTCTCGCGCATCGACTTAAGATCACCAGCATTACTTGTCCTGGAGATACTTTGGGCCCCTATCGGGGTTGGGAGTGTCCCGAGGTAGCCGTATGGAGGGATCCCGAGACTGGAGAGAAAATTGATCTTGCACAGGTGGCTCAGATGAGCTTCCTTCTTGATCGATGTCTTCTGCATTCACTCATGCTTACGTCCAAGGAGGCCTCTTCTAATCCACTCAAACCTCTCAGTTTGGCCCACGTTCTGGATCTGTAAGCGCTTTCATTCTTATCTGGAGCAGACGGAGATATGCAGATATTCACTTTAAGTATGCAACATCTGCTAAACAAAGTTGGAATTCGGTTTTGTGAGCTTTGGTTTTCTTGCTTTGTACTCGCGAGATTTATTGATTTCCCCTGAGATATGGTGTTAGACGAATGTAAATCTTTGTTTCGGTCTTCATCAACTTTTTGCATTTGATCTTCACGTATTGAGGCAGTGTATCCACACAAACTTCGTTGTTATCTTTTACTCTAAGCGCCGTTTAAGCGCTATTTGAGGTTGTAACTTTTGATTGGATAGCATTTAGGCTATTTCCCAAAATTTTCAGTTTTTTAATCTAATCGTTACCCTTTACCTCATGGCTTGGAGCCAAGAGCGCTGACTACCTTTCTTGGTTCTCTTTAAGAATGTGTCTTATCGATTTGTTTCTTGAATCCTTACTGGCAACCTATGCTTTGAAATATGAAAGCAATTTTAATTTTGTCTTTGTCTTTCTTAGTACTTACCGGTTTTATCTGATGCGGCCACTTTAACTGAATTCCTCTTGTAGGTGCCGATATTCACTAGGTGCGGTTAAATTGTATATATACAAAATTTATTTAGTCGGTTACACGAAAACAAATTAAGCTTCCATTTGTTTTTGGATAAATGCGTGCATTACTTTGGCTTTGAAATGGTTATCTTCTTTTATGTGCGGTCGGTCAAA